GTTATTACTTATATAAAAGTATTACATAAAAAGAAAGAAAGAAAATTATGACAATTATATTTTTTCTTAAATGCTGTGTTATTATAATTGTAACTTAAGCTTAAAAAAATTACAAAATATATAAATTCACTAGTTCTTTTAAGTTTTACTTTATATATCATGCAAAAAAATATTTTTGCAAAGTAAATTTGTATCAAAATCTTAAGATTATTTGTATTAATCAAAATGGATGAGATATCCGTAAATATTCGTAAATATCCGCAAATATCTATTTATTTTCCGGATATCCGTTTTTCCGGATATCCGTATTTTTTCGAAGCAAAGCAAATACCAAAATTAGATATCCGTAACATTAGAATCAAATCACAAATACCTTTAAAAATCCGGATATCCGATTCGTGCCCACCCCTGGCTCCTCCATTGTTTACAAATTTTCCAGCTCCATATTATCCCCTTCGAAGTTCGAACCTAACACATCCCAATCCTCTGCCCAGACAAACATATAGGTCTAATATGCAATATCAAACCATGCAAGTAGATTGAATTTATACTTCCCAACCATTCATTCAAAACCTGAGCACCTTTTGTTTTTAAAGTTGAATTTCTCAAAAAAAAAAAAGTAGATTGAATTTCAGATTATTATTAATTAGTATCTTCTTAACTAAACAATCTGTCAATCGTTGAACGTATACAGGCCCATTTTCTCTCTTGAGGCCCATTATTGTATCTGAAACTCCACTTTTCCCAACCCACAATTAAACTAATCTAATTTACTAGTGCCGCTTTCAATTTTTTGGGGATGAAATTTCTTTCAGATTTGTATACATAGCTTTCAATAGCAAATAATGGGCAGATTATTTACATAAATGATCTCCGCTATGTTACTTTATGTATTGTTTTCCTTTTAGTTTATCAGTCTTTTAGAAAAAAATATTTTCAGTTTCATGTGAGACAAAATCACATCACATGCTATCGAATCCGAACGGAACATCACGTAATACGATATATAGTGACATAGCGTACTAACATAAAAAAAAAAGAATTCGTTTATTTAGTTTACAGTTATAGAACTACTAAAAATTACTCTAACTTCAAAAACTCTTTATATAGTAGATAACTTGCAATTAAACACACCCAAATAAAAACTAACACAAACCACAATCAACCATTACTACAACACACATTCTAACATCAAGAACGTACAACGTGGGGCTTGTCACTTTTCTCATCTAGCTGGTTAATCAAGTAAAGCGCGTTGCTCGTAACTCTCGCCACTTTCGTCATCCACTGCTTCACCTCTGATTTAATCTCACCGTCGATCCCTTGAAACCCATCGAGACACGTGTCATCATCAGTCAACGCTGCACTCGTCCACGTCTGAGCGTTGCTCATCTGCCACCTGAACTCGATAGCCGAACCGCCCGAAGCTTTAAGATGCTTCAAAACCTTTAGCGTACGGCTCAGCTCGTCCACCGAGTCTCCAATCATCTCCACGCAGTCCACAACAGCCGCTTTCACGCGTTTCTTCCCCACGGTTTCTCGTACCCCCGCGAGTTTTTTGGCAGCGTCTTGAGCGTGGGAGAGGCTTACCTTGACGGCTGCTTGAGCTAGCTCACGACGGTTTTTGATGGTTGGACCGGAGTAAGTAGAGAGCGTACGGACACATAGCAATGGATAGCTCGCGTGCACGCAGGAGGAGTGCACGATATCTTCCGCAGCATTGTTAGTTCCATGCCCGGTGGTGGCGGCTACAAAGACCGCTGTGACAATGGCGGCGGCAAGAAAGAACTTCTGTGGAGGAGCCATTGTTTCTCTCGGCTTAGACTGGAGTGAGAGTAGAGACCAAATTTTATGTTATTTTTTGTGCACAAGATAGAGACCAAACTAGGGTTACTTCTGTGAATGAAAAGGAGAGTTCTAAACTGGTGGGTAAGAATTTAAAGTCCTAGGTCCGTTAGAGCAAGTTAAATAAAGATTTTACGGATGTCCCTTACCGATTTTAGTTAAAAGCTAAGAGACTCAACTTATGGACCATAGATAATGTTGCTCTTATACTATTACATAAATAACCCTCATATATTTTCTTGTATTAACGTTGGTACGTGCATAAGATAAGGGGTAGGGTGGTGAATGCAGCACCTCTTGATTATGGGGAACATCTGTAAAACCAAATGCACCGCAAATTATTGGACAGAGTATATAGCGAGCCTAGCGACAAAATAAAGCTGTCCGGTCCAATGCATATAGATAAAGTAAATACATGTGAATGGCATATTTTTTTTGCACGGCTCCTCTAATATGTGTATAAATGTAACAAACAGCTGCTTTAATTTTCGATATACGAAAAAGATGAAAATTTGTGGAATTATTGACCGACTGCATCAGACGTGAGCATGGCCAATTGTATTCAAAGAGGTTTGGACCCACATTTGTTATGAATTGACAGAGGTTTCAGGACAGAAGTTTGATTTGCATTCATTTTGGTCGACTCTTGTATTATTTCAGAACAAAATTCTATACTGCTTACAATTTTAAACCGAATTAAACTTAGTTCAGATTAATTAAAATTCATACATTTTAATAGATTGTTTCTATATAACACTCGGACTAACAATCTTAATGGCCTAATTACATCTGCACTTTTGCTCTAAATAATACTAGCGTACTAATAAGTTTTAGCCACTACAACAAAACCGCATGAACATGGCCGAATAACAAAAACAAGAAATCAACAATCTCAAAGACACAATAATCAAGAAGAGCGAAGCGTCAAATCGTGATTTCAGATTTTTGGAAGTATAATTACGAAAAAGAAACCAAAAGGAAAAACTTGTTGAGACAGTTTTATCATCATTTTGTAGGCGAGTTTCGTTATTTTTGTAGTCATTATTGTTATGATGATATCTAGCTTTGTGTTATAAGTAATTGTAACTTGTATATTATGAAAAAAAAAACTTGTATATTATGAACTTAATTACGATGCTAGAGAACTAGTTAAGTGTTCCTTTTAAAATAGCTATTATATACTTATGAATTGTGATCTGAGTAGTCGATTTGTGTTAATATGTACAAAGTTTATTATATGAGTTGTACGGTTATGATTTAGTTTAATTATTTAAGTAGAAAGCTTGAATCAAGTTGTTTTAGTTTATCAACATCATCAAGAAGACAAGAATAATAAGAACTTCAGACAGAAGCTGTTCCTGCAACCATAACTTAAAGCCATAGTAAACTTAAAGCTGTTCTTGAATCTTGATCAATACCTAGTTACCTACACAAGTCCTAACCTCATTCGTTTCCTGCTTCTCGTCTCTGCATCCTCATCACGCCCAAATTCTTCTCCTTCTTCAGTTTCATTGTGTGACTCTATGTCATCAGAAAAGCCAGCATCATTATCATTTACATCATTCTCTATATCCTCCGATCTTAGGTCATGAAACCAAACGAAATTAGTCTCTACATGGCTAGAGACTGGTCCTGATGAATTCAGAAAAGGCAGCTTACTGTGACGTGTGATGCAATCCGGGATTGTGTCAATATAACTATTCCTGAAATAAAATGGCCCAGGAAGATCAGGGTTTTGGATGTTTCTCATTTCCATCACCAGATTATGACAGAACCTAGAGCTCTCGAAGATCTCTACAGGAAAGTTCACAATATTATTGCACCCCAAGAAATCTAGTGTTTCTATACGTTCCAGCTTAGATATCCCAGAAGAGATGCTTCTTAGCTTCATGCAGCTGTTCATCAATAGTTTACTTAGCTTGGAGAGATTCTCGACCCGCGAAGGGACTTCTTCGATCTCTGTCCTGCTGAGATTCAACCATTCTATAGTATCTGGAAGACTTGGAAATGTCTTGAGGTTCTTGCAGCCTGACATGTCCAATGCTGCCAGATATGGCCAAGACGTGATTGTTTCTGGAACTTGTTCTATTGCAGTTTCTGATAAAGAGAGAAATCCAATTTTCGAAGAAACTTCTGGAAAAGTTCTCATTCTTGAGCATTTATCAAGATTGAGAATGGTGAGAGACTCCAAGTTGATATTTGTTGGAAAAGACTCTAGGTTTGAGCAGCACTCCATTTCAAGAACAACTAGTTTGTTAAGGTTCTTAACTGAGGAAGGTAACATCACTAAACTGCTGCAATGACTGAGACAAAGTTCCTCCATATTTACTGCTTCTGAAAGATCTGGAATCTCTTTTAGATTCTCAGACTTACTCAAATTCATATACGTCAGGCTTCTAAGAGACTAAAAAAACAAAAAATCAGATTAATATGTTATGAGAGTTGAGAAAAGAGAGCTATTTAGTTTGCTTACTTGTACTCCTTCCCATAGCTTCTCAAGCTTGCTCTCTCTTAAATTTAGCACAACAAGCAACTTTGGACAAAAACTCTGAGGCAATGATTTTGTGGGATATGCATCCCAATGCAGAAGCCTAAGTTTACGGGGAAGATAATCCAAGCCTAGAGGTAAATGCAGCTTGGTTTGATCTTTACTCAACGAGGACTTGTAGAATTTTAGAAACATCAGGTTGTGCATCCCAACAAAAGATCTTTCATTCAGAAACCACTCATTGATTTTAGATATGTCCAAAGATATGCCCAAAACAGCTCCATTGTCCTGAAACACACATGTATCAAACTGAAGCTAAAGTTAATGCAAAGTCATAATCAGAGCAAATACTTTTAAAATCTTTTGGAGACCTAATGATATGTACATTTTGACCACTAATATTTAAAAATGAAAGTAACGAGGGTTAATGACTTACTTTTTTATCGACAAGTACATCATAGATATCTGAAGCATCCACCAAGAACTGACGTTTTCCAGGCTCGTTAATAGATTGTGCACAAACAACTTCTCTGCCCAATTTTTCTAGCAAACTGTGCATCATAATGGTGTTATTGCATCCAATTATGTAAATTAGTGATCTATTGGTAAGGACTTGTAGCCCAAAGTTGACATCCAAGCCAGAACTTGCGAGCAACAACTTCACATACTCAACATTTTCACCATTGAATAAACACGCAATGTGAAGGAATATGGACTTATCCTTCTCATGTAAACCATCATAACCGACTTGTAAAACGTTCCTAATATCCTCACTGAGACTGGTTCTGAGTCTAGGCAACGCTGATTCTTGCTCATCCTTGTTCATCCCTCGCAGAGATGACCCCAAAACCTTTAGAGCTAAGGGAAGATAGCCAGCAAGCTTTGTAATTTCAGTAGCAAGCTCGACATAACCATCTGGAGCAGAGCTTTTTCCAAATGCGTATTGGCAGAAGATCTTAAGAGATTCACTTCTAGATGGAAAACCCATTTCATATATAAGCTTGATCCCATGAGCTCTTAGAAGCTGTTTGTTTTCTGTGGTCACGATGATCCTACTCCCAGAACCAAACCATTGAGATTGTTTCACCAAAGCATCAAGTTGTTCTAGTTTATCAACATCATCAAGAACAACAAGAACTTTCAGATCCTGTAATCTTTCCTTTATCAGATGCTTATGATCTAACACTTCAGACAGAAACTGTTCCTTGAAGCCATAAGTGTTGAGTCCTGTTCTCCTATGACTTCCCTTAACATTCTCCACAAAGATAGTGTGTTGGAAGTGATTAGAAAGCCGGTTGTATAAAGTTCTGGCAACTGTAGTCTTGCCAATACCTGCAGGACCCCAAATCCCCACCATCTTCACTTCATTTGATTCAAGACATAACAGGGAATCCATCTCCCTCATATGGGCATTGATTCCAACAAGATTTTCTGAATCTCCTGATGGTGCAGAATTCAATTCATCTGAAATGTTCATTGCAATCTTTTCAACCATATCTGCTTCATTCTCCCTATCAAAAGATGAAAATGTTTGTTTCCACCAAGATTAGCATTTGTACATAGTTGTGAACAAACGCGAATTAACTTGAAGAAAACAAAGAGCAAACACTATCAAGGCAAACACTCCTGTTAAGCTAGTAATTGATTATTTGAGTGAATAAATTTAGAGAAATTCCATATGATAGACATAAAATTTTTTATAACAAATATAGACTTTAAAACAAAAATAATCAAAATAGACTTAAATTTTTTATCAAAAATAAGTAAATATATATTTATATCCTTTTGAATTAACTAATACTAGATATTTTTGTTTAGAGTTAGAGGAATGAGGTTTTGTGAGTTGAGGAATGGGATTTTGTGATATGATTTCAAATTTTCTTTTTGAAACAAAATTTAATATTTTCAAAATAAAAAATGCTATTTTGATCATTTTAAATTTTTGTGGTGTATTTTTGTGATAAAAACTTAAAATGTCGATTTGAAAGAATTTCCTATATATTTAAGGATAAATCTTTATCCAAGTTGTTCAAAAAAAAAAAAATCTTTATCCAAGTAAAAGTATTTTTGCTAATTGTAAAGGCATACTATACCCAATGAATATTGGTATTTTACCAATGCACAAAGATTTAATACACTTCCGTTATTAACACACATCCATAACTAATAACAAGAGTCAAGCATTCATGTGAAGAAAGAGTTTGGCTACAGAGTCAGAACAACTAACCAGTTTTGAGAAGACTCGCCGGCTATATTAGCCACATAGACCAAAGCTTCTCGCCATCTCTGCTTCACATCCTCTGGTTTGCCTAGACATGCTTTCTTAAATGCCCTTCCAAACTCTCCGCTTAGATTCCTCACATGAGATGGATGAACCTCGTAGAAAACCGGCATGACCTTCTTGCTAGATTCTTTTATCTCCACCAACTCATTTAGACACCACCTTGAAGATGCATATCTCCTGGATAATATTACAACTGCAAACCTAGATTCTCTGATAGCTTGTACGAGCTCAGGACCAATCATTTGGCTTCTCTTGATATCATTATCTATGAACGTGCGGATTCCCTTTCGCCGGAACTCCTTGAGAAGGTGGCTGAGAAAGGTTTTCCGGACGTCTTGGCCACTGAAGCTTGGGAACACATGGTGTCTCCAATGGTAAGCTTGCAATGACAAAGATGGAGAATCTGCCATGAGAGAAGCTACTTTGAGACACGCTTGGAAAGGTATGCTACGATCTTGATATATGAACTTTTAACTCTTCATATTTGGGTCAAAGACTTTGAGACACGCTTTGCACGTCGAGAAAGTTGACTTTTGCATTCTGTTTGCGTGTGTTTGCAAACAAGTTTGACTAAGTCGTGGAGACACAAAAAAAAAAGCATAACATAGAAGCCAAGACCACAAGTTGTCTATTGAGTCTACTCGACAGCAATGCTTACACTGAAGCTACAAATGTGTAGACACTTTAAATGTTTAAAAGGTGTTAACTCTATGTGGAAATATCAACTAGCAACCAATGTTTGTTTTGTATTGCTCGTCCACGTACTTCTGGTAGCTAGTGATTGTGGGCGGGTTTCGTTATTTTCGTAGCCATGATTGTTATGATGATGATGAAGAAGTTAGTTGTGTGTTTAAGTAGTTGTAATTTATATGTTACGAACTGCAGAAACTAGTTTTGTGTTCGTCTTTAAACTAGCTATAATTTGAATTTTGGGTGTGCTCTTGAGTAGTCATTTTGCATTAATTATGAGTATGTACAAAATTTATTTTTTGAGTTGTAAGTTTATGATGTAGCTTAATTGTCTTTAAAAATGACTAGGCGGGTAGCTAGACGATTTGTAAAGAACTAACGACTAGCCGTATTATTAGGGGCATAGGCGAGTCTATACGTTAGTCTTATATATATGTTTAACATTTATATAAAATATTTTATTTTTTAGCTTTAATGATAAAATTATTTTGATGAATCATTAAAATGAGATATATAAAACAAAACAAAACAAAATAAATTATACAAATTTGTGGATTTATACTAACATTATAACAGATTTAGACTAATTTAAATCAATTTAAACCGATTTTGAAAGGGTTTAAACAAGTTTAGGATGGTTTAAACAATTTTTTGAATCATATAACTTAGGTTTTATGAAATTTGCTAGGCTACTACCAATTTGCCACCTAGACGGGGACTATACCGATTTTTAGAATCATGCTTAAAAGTAACTGTAATTAAGTTGAGTTAATATATCAATTCTTCAATTTAAAATGAAAACAACTACTCATATAAGTTAACAAAAAAAAAAACAACTACTCATATAATAATTTAACTTTCCATATTTTTTGCGATAGTTTTTTTTTTTTTTTTGGTCAAATTTTTTTTTGGTCAAATGCGATAGTTTATATGCCAACAAGAACCATTAAGCAAGGTTTATGCGTGTAGTCAAAGTTTTGGTGAGCTTACTTGTGTCCAAATGATCGACTAAGAACGCTTCGTAAGCAAACAACATTTAATTTTGATTTTCTATATTTCTTCTAGGTCAAGCGATCCTGGTCTTGTGGAGAAATTATGTACAAATTACCAACTTAATCGACCAAAAAAAAAACTTTAAAGCAACAAGGATATATTTTTTCGTACTAGGAATATCCTCTAGTTTAGACACATGGGATTCCTTACGGGTTCCGTTTGTCATCCCATAACCTTACGACACTCCCGTTTATCACCGTCAAGTCCACGTAACGGTACCAATCGTCATCACCAGTTCTCATCTTCAACACTCTCTCCCACCACTCTCCACAATGACCCAAACCACCTCCGTAGCTAACGTCCGTTAACTCTCCGTCTCCGTCAACACACGTCTCTCCAACAACGTCTACCTCGTAGTACATAGTCAGCTTCCCTTTCGTCACTCCTTGATCGCACATTAACGGCTCCCAAACCTCCGTTTTAACCACCGTTTCCTCCACGGGCCCGGCCATTTCTTGCGGTTCGTGATGAGAAGATTCTTGTTCAGGCTTCGAGGGTGTTAATCCCTCTAACAAGCCACAACCATGAACTTCTTCGACTTTGATGGTGGTGATGACTCTTATCCTCCAGAAGCTGACGGCAGCCGTAACGACGGCGATCCATGTCCAGACGTTGTTAACGACGGCGAGACAACCGAAGCTAGCGTACTCCAAAGCCAACGCCTCTAGTGGAGAATCTAAAGTCGCCATGTTTTTGTCACTTTCTTGATTATTTATTGATAAGTAAAGATCTGAATGATTCAGTGGTTTATATAAAGGAGGGAGATAGAATATGAACCGTCGGATTAGTAGCACGTTAAATGATGTGTCGTGTAATAAAATAGAGAGGAAAGCTAAGCCGTGGATCTTGTCAAGTGGAAGTATGAATATTTCGTAGATGCTGAGAATCGAGAAGGAAGATGCTTTTGTCTTCAAGGAAGATACGCACAGCCAAATACTTATTCCTCCCCATGGCTAGGTTGGCCCATACAATTTAATATAAATATAGGCAACATGTAACTGATGGTTGAGTTAATTTTGACATCAGAAACTAACAAAATTACATATATTTAAGATATGGTTGAGTTAGTTTTGACCTCAGAAAATACAAAAATTGTATTTAAGATATAAAATGTATATGTTGTTTTCATCGAAATTATTACTTGGCTCTCTTTTTCTGCTTACGATTGTGTGCATGTCCGACGCATGCAACAATATACTATGGGCATCTTACATATTTTCAATGATTTTTAATTTTCTCTTAAAATAAGACTTATAAGATATATTAAGTTGTTTAAAAAAAGAAGATGTATTAAGTTAATAGATCTCTAAATATTTAACTAGAACTCTGCTTTAAAAATATATCAATTAAACTAAACATATTTTTTTAACTATTATGCATAGTTATAGTAAGACAGATGCTAACATAAAATAAAATTGCAAAACAAGGATACAAGATAAATTACAAAATTCAGAGCAAAAAGGAAATCGTGGTGATCGAGATGGTTCAAAATCTGATTCCCGATCATTCTTCCTACGTTTTTCTGTTATCACCAGCTTCATGACGTGCATTTTGGAGTTTTTCGTAACAGTTTTCTGGCTGGATTTTTTAGACCACAAAATGATAATAAAAACCCCCTATAATTTAGGTTTAGGTATTTTACTTGAAAATTAAATCTGGAACTAATCCAAATATATCCAACCCAAAGCTTTATAAATGTCTAGATCAGTGACGGACCCATTATTATTTTTATTTGGGTAATAGATTAAATAAAAAAAGCTCATTAAAAAATTTAAACAAAAATAATACAGCTCAAAGCCCAAATGAAAATGGATAAATTTAATGAAAGTTACACCCACTAACCAAACAAAAACCCAAAATGAACTAACTAACTAATTTCACATCTACAAAACCAATTTTTTAATTTCTTTGCTATTTCACAAATAAACTCTAAATTTAAGATAAAAAGGTGTCAACCTATAGGGTTGTAGCCAACTATACTTTCAACAATTAAATTTTTAATACTTTATTTTTGGTTATTTTCAAAATTTTAATTAAATATAACGGGATTCATTAAATTTCGACGAGTTTTGGTCTTGGATAAAAAACTGAAACCAAATTATACCCGAACAAGCATGCATTAATAAACAAACATACATGTATACTCTTATGAAACGACATCATCTTTAGCTGCCCATCAGACTATATATATTTCTATCACACAAACCAACAATTTAATCCAGAGGCTTATAATATATAATAATTTAGGATAAATTCTAATGTCTAATCTAATAAATTAATGAATACATAGGATTTTATACACGATCAAGTAAAGTTTTATCACATGATTGTCTAAAAAAAGCAGTTCAAGTGTATCACGTAATTAATATTTTAATAGCGCACGGAATAGAGGAGGTAAGTTGGTAATGAACTAAGAATAACGAGTTACGTTTTAAACAAACTATCTTTCGGCGTAGAGAACTCTATAGAGAGAACACGTGAGAAAACAGAAGAACCTGCAAAGCCCGAAAGTGACGGGAAAGCCAACAGAAATATATATTGTGCGTGAGAGAATCAATGAAATGAAAAACTATAAATCCAAAAAAGGCCATTCTCCATCTTCTGATCTCCCAAAATTCGCTTCTCTATTCGTTTTACCCCACCAAACATTTTAGATTCTATTAAATTTTCTTTTTAGTTTTTTTTTTATTGTTTTGTTTTTAGTTTAAGTTCTTGAAAACATCTTTTTTCCTCATCGTCGTTTGAGCTTCCTAGTCTTGGAACAGAAAAAACCTAAAAGAAGAACGAAGCGACAAAAAAAAAAAATCTTCGGGAGTTCCTTACCCTTTTCTTTTGTGCATGGTGTGCCTCATCGGGTCCATAGCTAAGAGTGATTCATTCATCAATTCGTTTTCCTCTCCAGGTAATTCATTTATATAATATACTTATACATATGTAAAATATCATGAGATGGGTTCTCATTTATCACCTGAAGAATTATTTTGATTTTTTCTGATATATTGGATTTTTTTTTGACAAAAATAATTTGGATTTATTAGATCGTGAACTAATCTAGAATATTTTTCTGTCATAAGATCTCCTGAGTTGTATATGTGGATATGTTGAGTTTGCTGGAAAAAACTTTGGATTTGATTTCTTGAGATTTATATAATATTTTGGTTCCCTCTAAAACTTCTTGTAGCAGATTCTATGTTCATGGGATTTGCACCGATCTGAGAGAAACATTCCTTTTGCAAAAATACTGCTTTGGACTATGTTTATGTGTGGATGCGGGTCCCTTTGTTTTGGTTGATGATAGTCTTTTTCATAAAAGTATTTAATCACAACTAATGATTCAAATTTGATTTGGGGTCACAGCTAAACTAGGTTAACTGATTATTGTTTACCTCTTTACAAGTTTTATTCTCTAGTTTTGTGAATGTTGATTAGATTGTGAAACTTGTTTATTACTTTAGTTTGATACATTATAATAATAATTTGTTTGTGATATTGTAATGCAGCTACAAGTGAAGATCTTATGAGACATTTGATTTCTCATTGAAGAAAACTCGCGAGTCTTGTACTATCTTATTACTAGGCAGTGCAGATGGATGAAAATAATGCCGCAAAGATAACCGGAATCAGGCAGATCGTCAGACTAAAGGAGATTTTGCAGAAATGGCAAGCCGTAACGTTAGGTCCCAAGTCAGATGTTCCTCCACTAGCAGCTGGGAAGCAAGCGGCGGCAATAGTTTCACCAGCCATCAATAAGAGGCTATTAGCTGTTAAGAACTGTGACTCAGATGAGGAAAGCTGTCAAAGCCCTAAGGCTCCGGCTGATGTTCCAAAAGGGTATCTAGCGGTTTACGTTGGACCGGAACTAAGAAGGTTTATCATACCAACAAGCTATCTCAGCCACTCTTTGTTCAAGGTGTTGCTCGAGAAAGCAGAGGAAGAGTTTGGCTTTGATCAGAGCGGTGCGCTCACTATTCCTTGCGAGGTCGAAACTTTCAAGTTCTTACTACAATGCATGGAGAACAATCTTAAAGATCATCACCCTGACGATAGTTCCGGTAAGCAGAAAGGCTAACTCTTATTATATAGAGATCATACCATGAACTAGTTACAACCGCATGCATCAGTGCAGGGACCAGTAAACTATAACACGTGCATGACATGCTTAATTAGGGCTGAGTTTAAACCATAAAGAAACAGCGTTTGCACTTACTAGGCATTAAATGGGCTATTTCAACTTCCCTCATAATCTTATCTACCCATTAATACTCTCAATAATCTTTATTGTTTGATGAGAAATCAATCAAGAGGTCTGTTATTGAACATTGATATGATTCTTGAGAAACCAACATTAATAGTTCTGTCTTAACTTTTGCAGTTGGAGATGCAGTAGAAGCGGTTCAAGCGAAGGAAGAGTAATTACAAATCAAGTGATAAAAACTCTTTATAACTTTTTTTAATTATGACGATTGTTATCCTTTGTTTTTGTTTGCCATATATGTTGATGGAAAATGTTAGGGTGTGATTACTTTGGGCGTGTAATTGTAAAATCAGGTTATCTTTTTATTATTGTCCTGGTTTGTATTGTCTTCTCCATTCTTTTTTTTATGGGGGGGGGGGGGGGG